TTCTTCTTCTTCTTCTTCTTCTTCTTCTTCTTCTTCTTCTTCTTCTTCTTCTTCTTCTTTCTCCTCCTTCTCTTCTTCCTTCTTTTCCTCCTCCTCATTTTCCTTTTTTTTTCTTCTTTCTTCTATGTGTAGTTTTGGCTGTCCTGGAACTCATTCTGTAGGTCAAGCTGGCCTCAAACTCATGGGGATCTTCTGTCCTCTGTGTTTCAAGTGCTAGGATTGAAGGCATGTACCACCACCACTACCTGCCTGCTAAAGAGGTTCTTATGCATAATATAATTGGATACTGCTTTTATATATAATTACACACTGTATTTTAAATTAGACACTGTATTTTAATTATCATTTTATTCGATTTTCAGATTTATTTTAAGTATTGTATTCATCTTCAATCTACTAATGGGTTTATTTTTTTATTTTGTTCATCTTTTCTGCCTTCTTTTTGATAAAAAAAAATTTAGCTTGTATAAGAATCAAATCTAAGGTCTTGTATGTGTTGGGTGAGTGCTCTACCACTAAGCTATGTGCTTAGCTCTTTTTATTTGGATTATTGCTTCATTAAGTATAAATCTTAATTTTACTCTTTTAGTAGTGGCCCTTGGGGTTAGCAAATGCATCTTTAGTAAAGCCTATGTTGTTATTAGAAATGAGAGAAAATCCATTTCTGAAGAAGAGTGGAGAAAATGATGTGCTTAGCAGAAGGAATGCAGTTATTAGAGATGGTGCTACATATGGAATCTCTGATAGCCCCAGTGACAAATAGCCAAAGAAATGAAATACTGTATATGTGATTGGAGAATTGCTGGGCAATGGCTGCTTAATTCAACTCTTGAAAACAAAGTACATTTTTTTTTCTCCTGTGTGCTCCCCTGTAATCACTAACATCATGCCTCCTAAACACTCCTGAAAGCTGTTTCCTGGGAGTAGGAAACAGTGTATATGTTCTTAGTGAAGAAAGGACATAGATAAGCAACCCTCAGTTTTAAAATGTTGCTATATTTTTTCCTACTCAATTGTAGGAGCGGAAGGTAGGACTAGAAAGGTTCGATGTTCATAGCGTTTGAACCATCTACTTAAAGTACAGAAAGTATATTCTTAACAATCTCAGCTGGCCCAAAAGTATATAATATTGACCACAGGTTTTGTTGTATATAGATTTTATTATGGTGATATATATTCCTTCTATGCCTAGTTTCTTCAGGCTTTTTTATTATGAAAGTATATTGAACTTTGTAGAAGACCTTTTGTGCATTAATTGAGATGGTCAGATGGTTTTGTCCTTAAAATTTTTATATGCTGTAATTTCCATATCCTATAATTGTTTAAATAAGAAACTGAACTTTCTTATTAAATCTTTCAACAATTTAAGTTGATTCTTGACTCTTGAACTTTTACGTAGAGCAATTTTTCTTTTGTGTTTACTTTTAGAGAGTGTGAAAGATCGAAATCAGCATTCTGTGAACAAGCAGTATGAAAGAGAGAAGGCGCGGCTTGCTGTGGGAATAGAAGAGCTACGTTCCAAGCTGTTACAGATAGAAGCCGAGAATTCCGATTTGAAGGTCAACATGGCACACAGAACTAGTCAGTTTCAGCTGATTCAAGAGGAGCTGCTAGAGAAAGCTTCAAATGCTAGCAAACTAGAAAATGAAGTAAGTGTGGATTTACCTGGGTATAAGAGCTAAATTTTGAGAAAGAAAACTAGTATCGCTATGCGGTTTTGTTACTATTGAAATCTAGATTTATAAGGCTTTAGAAAATAGTACTGTGTAAGTTATAAATGCTTTTAAAATCATATTGGAAATGTATGTTTAATTTATATTGCCAGTAGAAAAAATACTACCAAGTAGCTGAAAGTTCTCAAATTGATGGAACTAATTAAATATAAGTTAATGTAATAATAATGCATGCTTATAGATCTTAGATTGTGATTGGAAGAAAAGGAGTGGTAATAGAGGATTTCAAATTTTAGCAAACATCAGAGCCTCCTAGGAAATCTGTGAACATTTGGATTTCTTGACTTTCTAGCAATTGTGCTTTAGTATGTATAACTCATGAATTTCCATTTTAAAATATTATATGTGAATCTGATACTGTGGGTTATATTCTGAAAAGGTAATATGCGTATTTTCAGCTATCTCATCATTTACTTTTTTAAAAAGATATTTATTTAGCATATTGATTTCTATATGCCATATTTTGTCTGTACAACTTCTAAAAAGTTTTCTAGTGCAAATTTACTAGTAATAAAATTCTTACAGTTTTTGTCTGAGAAAACTTTCTTATTCATTTTCTGAATGTTTTTTATTCATAGACTAGAGAATTTCTCATAAGCCTCTTAAAATAAACCTTTTTAAATTGAAATTTTTTTTTTTTTACTATATGTTCTGATCACACTTTTCCTTTCCCCTAATTTCTCCCAGATCCTCTCCATCTTCCCACCCACCAAACTCTGTGTCACTTCTTTCTCTCTTTGTGTTTAGAAAAAAAAAAAAGGAACTGGTAAACAAAAGGATAAAAACAAAACAAAACCACAAACAGCTTCCCGAAACCCCACAAGAAACACATATATATCAAAAACAAAACAAACCCCTCCAAATCCCCATAAAAACACTGTGTTAGCTTCCAGTTAGCTTTCCAGAGGAAACGTCTCTGATAATGGATGAATGAGCCACTGGTTTATGGGTATAGCAGAATGTCATAGGAGTCATTTTATTGATTTGTTCCTTTAACAGAACAATAGTGTTTGGTTTTCCCCTAGGTCCGTGGCCTGCCAAGTCCTACTGAGTTTCTTGGCCACCCAAACAGTGATAGGCCTGGGTTCCATCTTGTGAACAGGCGTTAAATCCAGTCAGAGAGGGTTGGTTACTCCCACATTTGTGCCACTACGGCACCAGCTCATCCTGCCAGCAGGTCACCGTTTTAGATTGCAGGGCTTGTAGCCGGGTTGATGGTTGCCTTTCTTCTCCAGTAACATAGTACCTTCCAGTTTTATGAACACCCGTCACTAGCAGTGAAGGTGTCAGTTAGGCTCCAGCTCGACGTCTCCATGTTCAGTGAGCCGTGCTGGTATCTTCAGTCATAGAGCTTTCCCATTAGTTTGTAGACAGCAACCAGAGGCCTTGGCAATCGCTTGAGATGTGTGGGTGTTTTCATGAGGCCTCTTTGGTGAATGACTCAATTAGATGTAACCCATTCCTCACACTGGAGGTTTCACTCAGTGGCAAAAGATTTGTGTGCGTGCATGCATGTATATGGGTGTGTGTGTGTTAGGAAGATTCTTACTTGGCCCTCAAATGACTTTTAGTGTTAGTTGTTTCTCTGTATATTCCTCCCTCCCTTATCCCTGTTCTACCCATCTCTCTTCTCATTTAATTCTCCCACTCCAGTCTCTGTCTTCTCTATAACTGTAGATTCTATTTCTTCCTTTGTGTAAATATATCACATTTTCATTATCCATGCACCAATTGTTGGGCATCTAGGCTGTATCTAATTTCTTTTTTAAATGATTTATTTATTTTTATTGTATGTGCATTGGTGTTTTGCCTGCACATATGTCTGTGTGAGGGCATCAGATTCCCCTGGACCTGGAGTTACAGAAAGCTGTAAGCTGCCATGTGGGTGCAGGGAGTTGAACCTAGGTCCTCTGCAAGAGCGGCTAGTGCTCTTAACCACTGAGCCATTTCTCCAGCCCTTCTAATTTTTGACTATTATGAATAGAGCAGCAATGAACATGGATGAGCAAGTATGTTGGTAGTAGGATGTAGAGGCCTTTGGCTGTAAGTCTATAAATGCATTTTCCCCTCCTGTTCCCCAGCTTTCGATATAATGACTCTGGGGCTTAAATATATTTACAGAAGTCCAGGTGAGTATAGCTAGGCTTATTCCCTGACTTGCTCATAACTAATATCTCGCGTCTTCTATTCTATGTGTCTTCTATGCCACATGGCTGGTTACATCCATCTTCTTCACAGTCAGAGGGTGAATCTTCAGCTTCTGACTGTCTCCCAGAGTTTTTCTCTCCCAACAACTTCTACCTCCTCCTTTCTGGCCTCAGCTAACAGCCATTAGCTTTTTTCTGACAGGTTGTGTTTCCATACATACATAAGAGATTCCTTCTACAGGTGCCCAAGAGTAGAATAGCTGGATCTTTGATGTAGACCTATTCCCAGCTTCCAGGGGAGCTGCCAAACTCATCTGTGTGGTGAAGTTTGCACTTCTGCTAGCAATGAATAACTGCTTCACTTAGTGCATATCCTTGCCAGTGTAAGCTATCATTTGTCTTATTGATCTTGGCCATATCTTACACCACATTTTTTTTTTTTCTGGTCAAAAATCAGGTGTCCAGAGCTGGAGAGAAGGCTCAGAGGTTAAGAACTCTCCCAAAGGTCCTGAGTTCAACCACATGGTAGCTCACAACCATCTATAATGAGATCTGGTGCCCTCTTCTGGCTTGGAGGTGTACATGCACACAGAACTTTATATACACAATAAATCTTTTATTTATTCATTTTTTAAATAAATTACATTTTATTCACTTTGTAGCCCTCTCCCTCATCTCCTCCCAGATCCCTCCCCAAGTCCACTGATAGGGGAGATCCTCCTCCCTTTCCCTCTGACAGTAGCCTATCAGGTCTCATCAGGACTGGCTACATTGTCTTCCTCTGTGGCCTAGTAAGGCTGTTCCCCCCACAGGAGGAGATGATCAAAGAGCCAGCCATTGAGTTCATGTCAGAGACAGTCCCTGTTCACCTTGCTAGAGAGCCCATTTGGAGACTGAGCTGCTTCTATTTATTTGACTAGGGGTTATAGATCTGTTTAAATTGCTTATTTGATCTTGAATGAACTTTAATAGGTCATATAGATCAAGAAATCTATACATTTATTTTAGGTTTTCCAATTTGTTGAACTACAGATTTTTGTTTTGTTTTTCAAGACAGGGTTTCTCTCTGTATAGCCCTGGCTGTCCTGGAACTCACTCTGTAGACCAGGCTGGCCTCAAACTTAGAAACCCATCTGCCTCTGCTTCTTGGGTGCTGGGATTAAAGGCATATGACAAGGGATGAAAGGGATAAGGGGACCCCTGGTCTATACCAAGAAGTGGTAAATTTAGAGATTTATTCAAAGTATAGTCTAACTATCTAGTACCATAAATATTTCCAGTTTATTAGTTAGTGTATTTAGGGTTTGGAATGAGAAGCAGGCATTTGATTTGCTTTTAAAACTGTTTGTTTGTTTCAGATGACAAAGAAATGTTCTCAACTTTTGACTCTAGAGAAACAGCTGGAAGAAAAAATTACTGCATATTCTTCTGTTGCTGCAAAAAATGCAGAACTTGAGCAGGAGCTCCTGGTAAAATTTACTGTTTTTGTTTTTTAAATATTGTTATATGTCTAGTTGATCTATTATGTGGTGACTTTGAAGTTTCTTTGTTTCCAATTGATATTACTGATTTAATGATGACTGTGCAGTGCTGAACTTATGCACAGTTATTCTGTCAGGACCGATGTAACTTTAGCATGTGGTATCTGTAGGTTTACAGCTGCTTTATCTTCTTTATGTGTGCAGGTACACTCACCCGTGAGTGCCTGTGGACAGTCCACACAGCAACACTGGGTGTCTTTTTTTTTTTTTTTTTTTTAATTTAAGACAGGATCTCACTGTAGCCCTAGCTGGCCTTGAACTCACAGAGATCCTCTTGTTCTGTTCCCTCAGAGCTGGGATTTGAGGCCTCTGCTACCAAGCCAGACTAACACTGGGTACCTCCCTGTGCTTGTGACGGTCAGAGGACAGATTTCAGGAGACAGTTTTTTTTTTCTTCTTACCATATGGATCCCAGGGATTAAATTTGCCTCATCAGACTTGGTGCCAAGTGTCTTTGCCCACTGACACATTTCAGTGGTCTGTCTTTGCTTTGTAATGTTGAAATATTGCTTAGACTGTGTTGTAGAGTCTTTTCTGGCTATTTGTGTTTATGATGGTAAAAGACTCTTGCATTTGAGTGTCTGCAGTTTTGTTGTTAAGTTTTCTGCTGTAACTTCAGGGACTAGATGATTCTTAGTGACTTAGTTTTTACCTTAGCTCCTTCTCCTGTCCAATGGATTCTTAGGTTTATTACTTCAGGGTATCTCAGAGTTTCTGGAGGTTGTGGCTGTGCTGCTGCTGCTGTTTCTTTTTCTTTTCTTCCTTTTTTATCCTCCTTTATTTCTTTTTTTCTCTTCCTCTTCTTGTTCTTGTTGTTCTTCCTCTTTCCTCTTTCTCTTATTTTTCCTTTTTCCTCTTCTTCCTCCTCCTCTTCCTCTTCTTTTTCTCTTCCCTTAACTGATATGTGAAGGTGATTCTTTCCACTGTATTTTTTAGTTGATACACTGTGCTTTTCATCTCTAGCATCTGCATCTCCAGAGCTCTGTTTCATTTCATTCCATAGTGTTAAATTATTTTGCCCATATTGATTTTCTCATCTATTTTTCTGGTTTTCTTCATAATGTAGCTTACATTCTTGTATAACTTTTAGATTTATTTCTTTAATTTATTAATTTGTTTGTATCCTTTTTGAGGTCATTATTTATTTTAATTTTTTTCTTTCATTGAAAATATTTTTTTCCATACAATATATTCTGATTTCAGTTTCTCCTCCCCTTCCCCTTCCCATTTCCTTCCTACCTCACCTTCCATCCAGAATCAACACCCATAATAATAAAATAAAATGAGGTAATTCAGAAAACAAATTGGAATATGCCCAAACAACCAAACAAGAAAAATAGCCAAAGAAAAAGCATAAAAAATGCATATAAAGAGACACATACAGCTGCACACTCCGGGATGCCACAAAAACTCAAAACCAAAAGTGATAATGTATATACATAGTGCCTGGGGGGGGGGGCTCTGACAACATTAGGAAACAAAGAACCTCCAAAGATGTCATTGAGTTTGTTTTGTGTTGGTCATCTACAGCTGGACATGGGGCTGACCCTTAAGAGTAGTTTGTTTCCCCTGGGAGACTCCCTTGGAGAAAACTAATTTTTCATTTCCAAGTGGCTCTCAACTGTAGATAGCTTCTGGGTTAGGGAGGTCAGCTCTAGGGCCCTATCTGGTGCAGACCAGGGCAGGCCCTGTGCATGTTGCCAGAATCTGTGAATTCATATGTGTGGTCAGCAATGTTGTCACACAGGCCTTGATTCTTTGCTGTCCTCCATCCCTCTACCCTTACATTCTTGCCACCTCCTCATAATCAGAATTTCCTGAGCCATGGACTAGGGAGAGAGATTTGGTGGAATCATCTTTTTAGAGCTGAGTGTCCCCAAGGTCTTTCACTCTTTGCATAATGTCTGGCTGTGGGTCTCTATATTTATTCCCATCTGCTTTGGGAAGAAGTTTCTGTGATGATGGCTATGCCAGACACTGATACATCATGATGTTGTTAGGAGCCATTTTATGGCTACGTTTCTTTAGCAGAACAGTAGTATCTGGTTTTCCTCTAGGTCCCTGGCCTATCTAGTTTCAGGTTCTTGGCCACCCAAGCAGTTTTGAATATGGGTTCCATCTTGTGGAGTGGGCCGTAAGTCAGATCAATTACGGGTGGGTTACCACCACAAGCTTTGTGCCACTATTGTACTAGAGTGTCTTTCAGGCAGTCAGTCTTAGAGATGGAGGCTTTGTAGTTGGGTCGGTGTTTACCTTTCACCTTTGGTGGTGTGCAGAGTACCTTCCAATTCTGTGAATACCAATCTGTAGGGGTGAAGGCTCTGTGTAGGCGCCAGCTCACCTTCTCTGTGTTCAGTGAGTTGTGTGGGTGCTGTCTTCAGCAGTAGAGCCTTGCCATCAGCTTGTGGGGAGCCACCAATAGCTTTGGGAATAGCCTGGGTTGTTTGGGTTACCATGGGCCCCTTTGGGCCAACCACTTAATTAGATGTAACCCATTTCCAGTACTGGCAGCTTCATTTAGTTTTGAGAGATATCCAGTTGGGGCTTTGTCTCCCTATTATTTGAATTTCATTTAGATCATCTTCATATATGTATATATTTTAGTAAGTTTCTACTGTATTAGGTTTCCATATGGCCCTTAGTTTTAGCTCTTTCTCCCATATTCCCTCCTTCACTCCCTTCTTTCCTTTCACTCTTTTTGATCCTATTCCAGTCAATCCCCAGCCTCCATCTATAACTATCCTATTTCTCCTTCCTAGGGATCCATCCCTCCTCTCTGGTTCTTTACCCTATATGTAGCCTTTGCAGTTATTACAGCCTGTATTTTGCTTGTCATGACTGACCAGCATCTGCATATAGGCAAATATATACCATATTTGTTTTTCTGGATCTGAGTTACCTCACTCAGGATCAGTTTTTCTAGTTCTATCCATTTACTTGTAAATTTCATGATTTTTTAAAATTTTTATATGTATATTCATTTATTTGTTTGTTTGCTTGTTTGTTTGTTTGTTTGTTTGTTTATTTATTTATTTATTTATTTTGAGACAGGGTTTCTCTTTGTAGCCCTGGCTGTCCTGGACTCGCTTTGTAGATCAGGCTGGCCTTGAACTCACAGAGATCCACCTGCCTCTGCTTCCCCAAGACTGGGATTACAGGAGTGCACCACCAAGCCTGGCTTGATTTCATTTTGTTTAACAGTTGAGTAATAGTCCATTGTGTAAACATATCACATTTTCTTTACTCATTGATCCATTGGTGAAATGTAGGCTGTTTCAAATTTCTGGCTATTATCAGTTGCAATGAACATGGTTGAACAAGTGTCTGTATAGTAGGATGAAGCGTTTTTTGGTTATATACACAGAGTGATATATTTGAATCTTGAGGTAGATTGATTTCCATCTTTCTGAGGAGCTGCCACACTGATTTCCATGGCATTTGTATAAGTTTGCACTCCCACGAGCAAGGATGAGTGCTCCCCTTACTCCACATCCTCACCAGCACGAGCTGCCATGTGTTTTATTGATCTTGGCCATCTTGATTGATGTAAGATGAAACCTCAAAGTAGTTGTGGCTTGTGTTTCCCTGATGACTAAGTACTTCTCAGCTGTTTGTGCCATTTTTTAATTGGGTTATTTTTCTTGATGTCCATTTTTTTAAAGTTATTTATATATTTTGGATATTAGCACTGTATAGGATTTATACTTAGTAAAAATCTGTAGCCTTTCACATTGTCCAAATGATGCTGTCCTTTGCTGTAGAGATGCTTTTCAGTTTCATGAGATGCCACTTAAATTGTGTTGTTAGTGCCTGTGCTATCAGTGTTCTCTTGAGAAAGTGTTTTTTTGTTTGTTTGTTTTGTTTTTGTTTTTTGTGCTGTTGAATTCAAGGCTATTTCCTACCTTCTCTTTTATCAAGTTCAGTGTATTTGGCTGTGTGTTGCAATCTGTGAATTTTTTAGAGTTGTGTTTTAGCATTCCATGTTTCCACGGAGGCCTGGATGCCGCCCAACTGGAAGTGCCATTGGCTTCTGGGCAGAAAAGGGTGAAGGGCGGGTTCAAAGGTTCTGCCTCTCCCAGGAATGCCAGTGTCTGGTCTGAGAAGGGTGGAACACAGAACCAAGATCAGGGTCAGAAGATCACTATAAGTTTTCCTGCTCTTTAGCTGGGCTGCCGGTACCAGGCCAGTTGGCAGTGAGCTCAGGGCCCCTGAAACCCAAGCCAGGCAGCAATGAAGGCCTGGCCTAACTCATGATTCAGTGGCAGCTGGTCCCAGGCCTCTGAAACTGAGAGGCAGTGGCAGGCTGCCAGTTTGGTTCAGGCAGACAGAATGGCTGCTTTGAGTACAGCCAGCTGCTCACCTTCGCAGATAGCCACAGTGGTGGGTGGAGCTGTGCAAGAAAGATGGTGGCAGCAGTCTGCGCTGACACGCCGAAGAGTGGCAGAAGCTCACATCAGACAGCAGCTTGTGGTGACAGGGGATCCAGTGGCTAGTCTTTTGGAGAGGAGCTCTTCCTTCCCCAGAATAAATGATGAGTCTCAGGTGATCATGGTGAAATAGAAGATGGCTGCCCCCCTATTTCATGAGAAACAGGGACTTATAAATGTTGGGCAATGGGAGGGTTTGGGGGTGAGTATGTTTGGTTCGATAGGGCTAGGAGTGCTGGGGATACTTACATGCAGCAGCACAGTCCTGTCTTAAGAAGGGAACACAGGACTTCATTATCCTATGGGCAGCAGGGTGGAGGTGGGGGAGAACTTGAGGATGGAAAAGCGTCCTTGGCTGAAAGCCATGGTATCAAGACATCTCACCAGCATGGAGAGGGTGTTTCCCGGAATCCCCGGGTGCACACTGGACGGGTTTCTTATGGGAAAGGGTTAGGCCTGTAATCCTACTGAGGAACATATGACTCCTTAGAGGATCTGGGGTTTCCCCAAATCAGGCAGAGAGGAGGAGGGAACCCAGCTGAGGAAGGGAGTCCGTTATTTTAGCGCTGAACTCAGGGGCTTTCTGGCAATGCCAGACTTTAACCTAACCTAGCAGCAGCGTTCAACAGTGTTTTGTGTAGGGTGGTTCCATTTGTACTCTTTACATGCACCCATCCAGTTCCACCCGCACTGTTTGTTGAAGAAGCTCCTTTTCCTGCCGTGCGTTTTTGGCCTCTCCGTAAGTGTGGACTTATTTCTGGGTCTTCAGTTCTGCTCCGTTGATTAGTGTGTTTGTTTTGTGCCAACACTATGTTGTTTTTCTTACTTTAGTTTTAACTCTGTAGAACAAATTGATGTCAGGGATGGTGATGCCTCCAGCAATTGTTTTTTGTTTTGTTTTGTTTTGTTTTTGCTATTCAGGTTAGTTTTAGCTTTCCTGCCCCCCCCCTTTGGTGTGTGTGTGTGTGTATGTGCTTACATATAAAGTTTAAAATTGTCCCGTCAAGTTTTTTAAAGAATTTTGTTGGGATTTTAGGAGATTGCATTTAATCTGTAGATTGCTTTTGGTAGAATGGCCATTTTTATTATTTTAATCCTATTGCTATATGAGTATGGGAAATATTTTCATATTTTGCTATTTTCCTCAGTTTCTTTCTTCAGTGTCTTAAGATTTTTTTTTTTATCATACAAATCCTTCCCTTGTTTGCTTAAAGTTATCCCAAGTTATTTTATATTTTTTCAGGCTATCATGAAAGGTATTGTTTCTCTAAAATGGTTGATTTTGTATCCTGCTACCTTTCTGAAAGTTGGGTATTGAAGTCACCCACTATCACTGTTTGTTTTATGAACTTGGGTCTTCTGTGTTTGGTGTATAGATGTTAAGAATTGCAATATCCAGTTGGGCAGGGGTGGCATACACACCTTTAATCTCAGCACACAGGAGGCAGAGGCAGAAGCAGGCATATATCTGAGTTCAAGGCCAGCCTAGTCTTCAGAGTGAGTTCTAGGATAGCTAGGGCTACATAGAGAAACCCTGCCTTGAGACCAATAAATAACTAAATAAATAAATGAAAGAAATGCAATATCCTCTTGATGGACTTTTCTTTGATGACTCCATAGTATCCTTCCTCTTCTCTTCTGATTAGTTTTGTCTCAAAGTCTATTTTGTCAGATTTTAAAATGGCTACACCAACTTGATTTTTAGATCTATTTGCTTAGATTAACTTTTCCATCTTTTTTTTTCCTGAAGTGATATCTATCCTTGATATTAAGGTGTTTTTCTTGGATGCAATAGAAGGATGGATCTTGTTTTCAAAGCCATTCTGTTAATTTATCTTTTTATTGGGGGAGTTAAGACTACTGATGTTGAGACCTATCAGTGAGCAGTGTTGATTCCTGTTATTTCATTGTGGGGGGGTGTGTGTGTGTGTATGTGTGTGTGTCTACACATGAACATGTGTGTTTCCTCTCTTTTGATTTGCTGGTCTAGGATTATTTATCACGTGTTTTCTTGGGTGTGGCTATCTTATACTAGTTCAGAGTTCTTTACAGTAACAGAACTTAAAGAGCAAATCTCTCTCTCTCTCTCTCTCTCTATATATATATATATATATATGAAAGAGATTTATTTGAATGACTTACAGGCTATATTCCAGCTAATCCAACATTGCTGGATTAATTTATTTTATTTTTTTTAACCTCAAACTAGCTTTTAGTTATATTCTTTCCAATATTTTTGTTTCTAGGAGAAGAATGAAAAAATAAGAAGTCTAGAATCCAATATCAATACAGAACATGAGAAAATTTGTTTTGCTTTTGAAAAAGCAAAGAAAATCCACCTTGAACAGCATAATGAAATGGAAAAACAGATTGAACAAGTAATGTATTCTTTAGTACATTCTAACCCAAAATTCTTTAAGTTCCAACAAAGAAACATGGCTTAGAGAAATTAATGACAAAGTCTATAATAAGAACCTCACTCTTTTTTAATAATTTCCCAATGTTTTTTTCTTTTTCTTTTTTTCTTTCTTTTTTTTGGCGGTGTGGGGGTGGGGTGGGCATGTCTCACTATGAATCTCTGGCTGTCCTGAACTCAACGCACTCTGTTGACCAGGCTGGTCTTGAATTCTTAGAGATCCATCTCTCCCTGCCTCCCAAGTCCTGGGATTAAAGACAGTGCCACTGCACTTGGCTCCAGGGTTTGCATATTTTTTATTTTTGTGGTTGTGCAAATGAAACTAGGGCATTGTGCATTCTAAGCAGGTAGTCTGCTAGTGAGTTAGCTCAGCAGACATAGGTGCCTGCCTCCAAGCCTGACTGGAGTTTGTATCCCAGAGCCCACATAGTGGAAGGAGAGGCTGACTCATGAACAGTATTCTCTGACCTTCATGCACTTACACACATGTGCACATAAAAAGAAATAAAATGCTATGCTCTTCTTTTTAAGAATAAATAAATAAGTTCAGTAAAATTTATAAACTGTTAATCCGTCTGACTAGAGGTTTAAAAGAATTAGGAATAAAAGAGGTATATCATTGAAGACCATAAAACACAAAGTGATAAAAAAAAAAAAAAAAAAACTGAAGAATTGAACTTAGGCTGAACCAGTACTTGGTAGACAGAGGCAGGTGGATCTCTGCGAGACCCAAGGCCAGTTTGATCTTTATAACAAGTTTTAGACCAGCCAGGAATACGTAATGAAATCTGGTTTTTAAAAACAAAATAAGCATAGTTTCACATTTTTCTAAAAGAAATTTCAGGTCTATGTGGTTTCACTGCTAAATTCTTCTAAACACTTGAAGAAATATAGTCTACCAGTCTGATACAGTCTACCAGAATAAGTTGAACCACTTTCTTTTGTTGTTGTTAAGATTTATTTATTATTTATACAACATTCTGCCTGCACACCAGATTTTACTATAGATGGTTATGAGCCATCATGTGGTTGCTGGGAATTGAACTCAGGACCTTTGGAAGAACAGTGAGTGCTCTTAACCTCTGAGCCATCTCTCTATCCCCAAGTTGAACCACTTTCAAACTCATTTGACAATGAAGGCTGGTATCTAAATCCAAAAATGAGACAAAGACAATAAAATACTATTTTATTCTTATTAGAACGTGAAGCTAGGGAATGAGAGAGAAGATTGATAATAGCAAATACTGACAAGAATTAAAAAAAGAGAAAGGTGTACTCTTCACTTGTTTTTAGTAAGAATGCAAAATGGTATGCTTTAGAAAATATTGTGATATTTTCTAAGTAGAAAATGCTTCAAATATTTCCCTGTAATCCTAGAATATTGGAACTTATGTTTACAATAAAGCCTGTAAATAGTGTTTATTGTAGTATTACTCATAATTGTTAAACCTGGAAGCAAACCTGTAACTTCCTTGAATGAACAAATAAACTATGGTTCTGGTTTATTATTATTATTATTATTATTATTATTATTTTTTTTTTTTTGAGGCAGGGTCCTCTGTAACCCAGGCTGGCCCTGTACTTGCTATGTAGCCTAAACTATGTATCAGAGAACAGCTCAACAAATGCCAAAGGTTGGGGTGCTCAAAAGTCTGATTATGGGATATAAAGTGAATAAAGTGTAATTAATGAAGAATTAAAAAAAAAAGTCTGACTGTGAAAGGCCAACACAAAGTTAACTTGAAGATGAAGGAACTAATCTATATTTGACTATGTTTGAGGTTTCATGAGTTTATGGGTATATGAAAATTTGAAAGCATAGGGACTAGAGAGATAATATGATAACTGATTTTGATCCCAAGGGCCCATGTAAGCCAGGTGAAGTGTTTCATAATTTTAATCCCAGCACTAGGGGGGTGGAGATGGAAAGATCTCTGGGGCTTGCTGACAAGGCAATCGAGCAGAATCTGAGAGTTACAGGCTCAGTAACAGACCCAGTCTTAAAAAATAAGGCAGAGTATGATTGAGGAAGTCAACCAACATTGACCCTTGTCCTGTATATGCACATGGACAAACATGTGCACACAAACACACAGACCGCCCCCAAACCCCACAAAACCTAAAATTTACAAAAAGGAAAAATGCTTTCTGTGTATAATTTTTTTTAAGTCTAGGAGCTGAAGAAGTGACCCCTAGTTAAGAGCACTTGCTGTTCTTCGAGAGGACCTAGATTAATCTCTCAGCAACCATATCTGGCAGCTCACAGCTTCTTGTAACCCCAGTTCCACAGATTTGATACTCCACACTCCTATCATCTACCCTGGGTATGGGGACAGGTACCTTTAGTTCCAGTACTCAGTAGACAGAGGTAGGTTGATTCCTGTGAGGTCAAGGCTAACCTGGTGTACATAGCAAGTTTTAGGCCAGCCAGAACTATGCACTGAGACCCTGCCCATAAAGTGTAGACATAAATATCTAGAATTGTTACGGTCTTAGTTTATGTCTTCCCTTGTTTCCCCGTCTTCCCGGCTGTTCCCCTGCCTGTTTGTGAACTCTCATGCATATAGTGTAGTCATTTATATTCTTGGGAAATTCATCCCACAGATACCAAACCCTGAGAATGCTCAAATTCTTTATGTAAAATAGCATAAATTTGTATATAACTTCATTCTACATCCCTTAAGTATCTCTAGAGTACTTTTGATACCTAATTCAATGTAAATAGTATATAAACAGTTATATAGTACATATATAATACAGTTACTATGCTGTATTGTTTAGGAGATAATCACAAGGAAATACTCAATGCAGATAAAGATTTTCAATCTGTAGTGTTTGCCTTCACAGATGGAGAACCACATATGGAGAACCAAATATATGTGTACAACAGGGAATGACTGAATAATACATGTGCACATACATAATTTTTAGCAGCTGCATTTTGCTAAATGGTTTCAATTCTTCATGTTCAGAATCATGACTTTTTGGGAACTTTTTTTATAAAGGTTTTTTCCACTTTAGGATATTATTTTAATTTGATTTGATTCCTATTTAGACTACAGTATTTTGGAGGGGCCTGGGGATCTGAGTTTGGCTCTCCACCACCCACATAAAAAGCCAGGCATCTTTAATCCCAGTGCTAGCAAAGGGGATCCCTAGCCAGACTCACCAGTCACTAAACTGGATTTATTAAAAGAAAAGGTTTACTTTCTCAAAAAGTAATCTGGAAGGACATAGAAGACAATGGATACAGACCTCCGGCCTTCGTACGTGTGGCCATAATAATTTTTTTTTGAGTTTGTTTTTACCAGTTATTGGTTAAGTTGTGGGGAATAAAATTTTACTTCTAACTAAAGTATAAATTTTAACTTAATATAGCCGTGCACACCTGTGATTCCCAGCGCTTGAGAGGCTAAGAGAGAAGCACTGTAACGAGTTCCAGGGCAGGCTAGTTCACTTCAAAGGCTCAGGCTAGCCTAAAGTGAGTCTAAGACCCTTGCTGAGCACATGCACATGATTGCATATATGATAGAGAAAACCAGAATTAGCACAATTTAATGGTTTCGAAGAGTTGCTTGTTTTATCTTACATTATCAGTGTTCTGCATGCACGTCTGTGTGTGCATTGTGTAAATGCGTGGGGCCCATGGCCCAGAAAAGGGTTTCCGATCCCCTGGACCTGAAATTACAGGCGTCTGTGAGCCTCAAATCTGGGTCCTCTGCAGTAAGTGCTCTTAACCTCTGGGCCATCTCTCCAAGATTGCTATCAGTCTCAGCAGAGCCTAGGCTACAGAGTGGGACCTGGTCTCAAAAACCAAAAACAACAAAGGATGAAAGGAGAGAGAGAAAAAATTGGTGTACTTGCAAGAGAATAAGTACTGAAATGAAAATGAGCCTATCTTACAAACAGGAAGTCTATTTCTAGGTGACTTATTTGAGGGAACAAACTTTCTGTGCATAGCAGACTTGTATAAAGGATGTTATCGCAACATTTGTTGCAGTAATCAAAGGAAGACATCAAAGCAAACCTAACTCCTTATGTAGAGTATAGTGCTTCCTAAAGTAAATAAGATAGATTCACATATATCAACACAGGTGAACATCTGAAACTATTTGGAGAAAACAAAAAAACAAGCTGTCAAAACTTAAAGATATTGGTATAAGCGATATAAAATTTCAGAACAGAAAATTGTATTTCATATTATTTAGGATGCTATATATTCAATAAAAGCACAAACAGTCAAGTCGATGATAAAGATCAGTGGAGGAAAGGGAAAATGGATAGGCCTATGATTTAATTTCTTTTTAAATAAGAGAAACTGAAGGAAATTTCTAAAATGTAAAAATTTATGTACTTTCAAATATATTTGTTTATGTTTAAAGTGTTCCTGGTGTTTTTAAAATATAATATGAAGACCTTGTTTTTATATTTAGCTTGAAACTCAACTGGAGAAAAGAGAGCAGCAATTTAAAGAACAGGAAAAGACTATGTCCATTTTGCAGCAAGATATACTATGTAAACAACATCACCTTGAATCACTAGATAGACTCCTGACAGAAAGTAAAGTGGTAAAATCATCTTTTTAAAAGTGCTATTTAAAAGCCAACATTTTAAGTTTATACTTCTGTAACATAAATTTAATATATTCTCATTATTTATTTACAACCTTATATTTTTCTTGCAAAAATTTATTTACAGGAAATGGAAAAAGAAAATATGAAGAAAGATGAAGCTTTGAAAGCACTGCAGGTTCAAGTCTCTGAAGAAACAATCAAGGCTAGTATAGTATACTTTGTGTGTTTTTGTGTGTGCACACGTGTGTGTGTGTGTGTATGTGTGTGCACATGTGTACATGTGTGTGCATATGCATGCCATAGCATGAGTGTGAAGTCAGGAGTCAGTTCTCTCCTTCCATCACATGGGTCTGAAGGACAGAAGTTAGGTAAGCAGGGTTGGAAACAACCTTTACCTGCTAAGCCATCTTATCAGCCCTCTCTTTTACTCTTAAGGATATCTTTATGCTTTTCCTCCTGCTAAATTATTAAAATTGTAATATATGAAGCCAGTTGCAGGCTGGGAAAATGGCTTTGTGGTTAAGAGTCTGTGCTGTTCTTGAATAGGACTGAGTTCAGCTCCAGCAGCCTGCTGGGCAGTTACAGTTGCCTCTAACTCCAGCTCCAGGGGAGCCCACTCCTTTCTGGCCTCAGAATACACACAAAGGAATTTTTAAGTAATGTATTTTTTTCTATAATTACAACTATTAGTGTTACTAATGAAAAATAACACAGGAGGAGAGCTCATGTGCACACATACCCTCCCACACACAAATAAATATAATTTAAGCAGCTTTAGCAAACAAGGAAGTGCTGGTTTTACTGTAGTATCTCAGACTAGAGGAGCTGTAGCCACGGAGCAGAAGTGCTTGGTTAAGGTGGGAAGGCATTAAGTTTGTGTGTGAATGCTTGTCTGTGTATGAAAAGACTACATTAGGACTCAAGCCTATAATCTTTGAAATGTTTCTTTTGTGAATAAAGGAGAACTACTATGTATTTATTTTATTAGAGTTAATACATCTAAATATGCTGCCATCATGAACTGCAAATAGCTTGAATATAAAAGATATCTACTTTCTGCCTACTATTCTGTTTGTAACCTGTTTTACGATTGGGAATGTTCATGTAAAAAATTATGGAGAAAGGGAGATGTGCGTGTGTGTGTGCTCATGTAGTACATATGCATCTGTATGTATGGAGGTTAGACGCTGAAGATGGTCTCTTCCTCCTCCTTATTTTTTGAGATAGCATAGCTCACCAACCCTGGAGCTTGCCAGTCCATCTGGTTAGCCTGGCCTGTGAGCTTCAGCGATCTGCCTGTCTTGCCTCTCTAGTGATAGAATCACACACACACACGCATGCTGCCACATGGGGCTTTATGTGAGTGCTGGAAATCTGAACTGTGATCCCGTCTGTGCTGCACCAGCGCTTTACTGAATGAGCTCTCTCTCCAGCCCAACACTTACACCTTTGTGTATTGTTATGACTCTGGGGTCACTCAGAAATTCACCATGGCCATAAATATTTTAAGAGGCTTTCATTTTACATACTGACATCCACTGTGGGGCCAGGGCTGCACCTGAGAGCACACCCAAGATGTAGCATGTCAGCCCAAAGTTCATAAAGGCAAAACCACAGACTACATGGATTTTGTCTAGCTGTAGGCAAGGTCTAAGTTTAGTAAACATGTATGTCTTGCAGCTGTCCTGGTCATCCTTTTGAGCAGAGCAAGCAAGTTCAATTACAAAAGCAGAAATAGCAGTTAGTCTTATGACCAGTTATCTTGCTAGAACAGCAAAATTTACAAGACCAGTCAATTTTAAAATAATCTTCAGCCTGGCGCAGTGGTACACGCCTATAATCCCAGCACTTGGGGAGGCAGAGTCAGGCAGATCTCTGTGAGTTCGAGACCAGTCTGGTCTGCAAAGCAAGTCCAAGAGACAAGGCTATGCAGAGGAACCTGTTTCAAAAAACCAAAAACCATCACCACCAACAAAAAACAAAAAACAAAAAACAAAAAAAAAAAAAGAAAAAAATAGTCTTCAATGTCTGGGAAAGTGGGCTCCTAGGGTGCAGCCTATGTAGGTTGGGGGCTTGCATGTTAGAGGAATTTTTTTGTACTTTGGTCCTTCAAATATAGTAAGACGAAACTTTAAATGTAATATTAACCACCACACCATAGTTATTCCTACAGCATTCAGCAATTCTTTAACATTTACTGTCATGTCAATTCATTTACAGATGGAATAGTAAACTTAATTTGAAAAATTAATATGCAGGTCAAGCATAGTAGCCCCTGCCTGTAATCCTAGCACTTGAGAGAAGAGTCTAGAAGACTCCCAAAAGATTGAGGCTGACCTAAATTATCTAATATTTAATCTAGTAAAGACACGGGAGGCATAAGCTGAGGTAAAAGCCTGCCAGCTCATTTTCTGAACTACATATAAAATATCTATTTACCAGCCTGATTCTACAAATAAACTACTAGCTCTTTAGAAATCTTTCTATCTGTGTCATTTTACCTAGCTAGTCTACCTTTCTCTTAAGCCCCTCCAATCCTATGAGGGGGCTTCATCGCTCTCTTTCCTAAAATTCTGTTTTTACATGTGTCCTGCTAGTTGCTTTTCTGTTGTTTCTGCAAGCCCAGAGAGAGGAACTCTGTCTCTTACCTAGAGTTCCTTCCATCAGGGATTTTGCAAGCCAAAACAGAGAGCTCTATCAAAGATCCAATTGATTATAAAAGGAGCTCTAGCTCCTCCCCAATACCCTGTGCAGGCTAAAGTGTCCTCCTGGCCCTCCCCCGCAAGACAGGGTCTCTCTGTGTGGCCCTGATTATCCTGAAACATACTCTGTAGACCAGGCTAGTCTCAAACTCAGAGATCTGCTTGCCTCTGCCTCCTGAGTACTGGGATTAAAGGCGTTAGTGACCACTGTGCAATGATAAATTCTTTATCTTCTCAATAAATCAACATTTCCAAATGTCTTATTTTAGCAACATTTATAGGATATTTGTACTCACTTAAGAAATAAGCAATATGTTTACCTTAAAAGAGTGTTTTTGGAGTGTCTACTTGTCATTCTTTCAAGTTACCATTTCTTGCAAACCTATACCTCTAGGTCCTCCCACCTCTCACTGTTGTCTTTCACTGTTGCCTTGCCCTTGGACATACTCCCTCTTTCTAGAGTGTGCTTCTGTACTTAGTTAACTCCTGTTTTGTTCAGGACTCTATTCTGTGCTTTCTCTTTGCTTCCCTGGTTTGCCATGAAGAATGAGTTCTTTCAGTGAATCTTTTCTGTCATATCATTTTATATCCTAAATACAACTATTTTAGAGGTTTAAATTTTTCTTAACATTTTTATTTCTTTGTGTGTGTGTTGGGATTGTTTGCTACAGTGCACGTGCTTGTGTTGTAGTGCGTGGGTGGTGGAAGTCAGAATATCTTTCCTGAGTCAATTGTTTTGTTCCGCCATAGTTTCTGGGCATCAAACTCAGCTCACCGGGCTTGCAGAGCAAGTGCTTTTGCTGGCTTAGCCATCTTATTGCCCCATTTTAGTGTTTGAAGCAGTAAAGTAACATTAGGAGATAAATCTGTAAAATGTTGTACATATAATAAATAGCCACTAATGTTAAGTCATAAGTGTATATATATATATATATATACACTTTTTTTTTTAATGACAGGGTCTCTCTTTGTAGGGCTGGATTTCCTGGAACTCACCATGTAGACCAGGCTGGCCTGGAACTCAGAGCGTTGCCTTCCTCTGCCTCCTGAGTGTTGGCATAAACGCATGTGCCTCTACACCCAGCCTTGGTTTTCCTTCTTTCCTTCCTTCCTTCCTTCCTTCCTTCCTTCCTTCCTTCCTTCCTTCCTTCCTTCCTTCCTTCCTTCCTTCCTTTCTTTTCGCTGTTATAGTTTGCTTTTTCTGCTTTTAGGTCAGACAACTGGATTCAGCATTGGAAATCTGTAAGGAAGAACTGGCTTTGCATTTGAATCAGTTGGAAGGAAATAAGGAAAAATTTGAAAAACAGCTGAAGAAGAAATCAGAAGAGGTAAATTAGTCCTTTATTTAGCAAAATTTACTTTTTTTTCTTTTTTAATGTTATAAAAGCTCTGTCTGCATGTTTACTTGCAGGCCAGAAGAGGGCACCAGTTCTCAGTACAGATTGTTGTAAGCCACCATGTGGTTGCTGAGAATTGAACTCAAAACCTCTGGAAGAGCAGCCAGTGCTCTTAACATCTGAGTCATCTCTCCAGCCTCAACTTTAGAAGTTTTTATTGTTATTGTTGTTTCATTTTATTTTGAGATAGTGTTTTCAATATACTTTGTTTTCTTTGGTGTTTTTAAAGACAAGATTAGTCTATCGTATCCAAGGCCCACCACTTGGGAGACAGAGGCAGGTGGATCTCTGTGAGTAAAAGGCCAGTCTGGTCTACAGAGCGATTCCAGAACAACCAGGGCTACACAGAGAAACCCTATCTCATAAAACAAAACAACAACAAAAGTTGTTTTATTATTTCTATAACCTCAGCCTCCACCCACTTGTTTTGTTTTTTGATACAGGAAGGCGTTGCTATGTGGCTCTAGCCAGCCTCTAATTCGTAATTCTCCTCCCTCAGCCTCCCGAGTGCTGGGATTTCAGGTGTACACCACCATATCTACCTTAGTGGTACCTTTAAGGAAATTTTGGAGACCAGCATGCTGAAACTTTAAATATTTAGAGTGAGTTGGTGAAGTTGATTAGTAGTTGATATTGTTATTTCTTTGTGTGTTCGAATATGAATATTCTGGATTCATTTGTTGCAACATTATGTAAACTACTGTAATATTAATATCTAGTATGAAAAACACCACCTACTTTAATTATGAAGTGATTTTGGTTTTATATCTGTGAAGGGGAAAGGTCTAAAAATGAAGTATAGATCAATCCAAGGCTACCTCCGTCCTTCCCTTTCTGGGATGGTCTGCATAAACATTCTTGTCATAGTAAAATGTGACATGTAAATTCTACCTAGAGGAAGCTGTTTATGACGTTAGAGCACAAGGTCATGGAAGAACAGTTGACTAGCCCATAAATACAAAAATTCCTTTCTTTTTAGGAAAGAAGCATGTTTCAGCATCATAGCCAGCCAAAATAGTGTATTGCATAGGAACATTTCAAAATGAGACCAAACAGGAGCCTACCTACCAGCATGTCTGTCATTCATCTCTTCAGTCAGAATCACAAACCCTGCCCTTCCCTGTGTCCAATATGCAACATGAAAAGTGGGCTAATTAAGGAAGACACCTTTTACATTTGTTGTTTAAAACATTTCATTGTAACAAGAAATATATATTTCTGCTAGGTATATTGTTTGCAGAAAGAGCTAAAGATAAAGAGTCACAGTCTTCAAGAGACTAGTGAGCAGAATGCTGTTCTACAGCTTACTCTTCAGCAGCAGCAGCACATGCTACAGCAAGAGACAGTTCGAAATGCAGAGCTTGAAGACTATCAGACTAAGCTTGAAAAACAGGTACGTATTTTGATTTTTATGAAATACAACTTAAAAATCATTTGCAGATTTACATTTTTTATTTTATGTATATGAGTGCTCTACCTGCATATGTGCCTATATGCCAGAAGAGGGCACCAGATTACATTATAGAGTAGATGGTTGAGAGCCACCATGTTGCTGGGAATTGAATTCAGGACCTCTGGAAGAGCAGACAGTACTCTAAACCACTGAGCCACCTCTCCAGCCCAATTTGTAGATTTTTGATTAGTAAAAATAATTTTCTTATGTAATCAAACCTAGATCTCTTACTACCATGGCCATATTTTTCATGTTATAATTTTTTCTTACAATTTAGACTTATTGACTAAATTTTTTTTTCTTGACTCTAATACCTATCTGAATTATTATGTCCTCTGATGTCTCCTTTTTGAATAACACGTGTGGTATGGTATTCTAGTAAAATTGGCAAAATAGTGCAATAAAAGAATAATCCCATTTTCCCAAAACATATAACTGCCACTGAGCTACGAAAATAAGTTATTATCTTGGGATTGTAGGTAATGGTATAGCACACACAAAGCTCTGGTTTAATTTCTAAGGCTGTAAGAAAGATTTGTTTGAATGAAATGAAGATGTCATCATTTCACTGAAAGAATCCTATACAATTTGATACTAGATCTTTTTTCTTTAATTTATTATCAACTTTGTCTCAATCTCTTTCATATATATTTCATTTTTCTCTTTTAAAAGAAATAAAATTTATAAAAAATTAGAAATTTTCTGATTTCATCTTAGTACAAAATAATTTTTATCCCATATTTACATATGCTTATGTATGTATTTACATATACTTATGTAAACATGTCTATATTTACATGTACCTATAATATATTTATATATTTACATAGTTATATGTAAATATATATATATTGTATGCATGTTTGTGTGTGTGAATTCATCTTCAGCTACCTTCCTTTTTTTGACATGAGAAGAAAACATTCCAAATTGTGATATTAAAGGAATACAGGGCTAGAGAAATGGCTCAGTGATTAAGAGCACTGGCTGTTCTTTCAGAGGACTCAGATTTTATTCCAAGCAGCCACATGGCAGGTACTACTGTCTCTAACTCCAAGTCCAGAAGATCTGACATCCTCACACAGACAGACGTGCAGGCAAAACATTGGTGCACATAAAATAAAAATAAATTATTAAAAAGAATAAAAAGAGAAAGTTTTACTATTTTGTTCATTCCTTTCCCTTCCTCCCTGTTTACTTCATTTTTCTTTCTTGTGCTGAGGAATGGGCTCAGGGCCTGTCACGGGCAGCAGGCACGCACTCAGTCTCACATAGACTTGCTCAGTTCTTAGGACTTTCATTTCACTGTTAAGATGTGCCACTTCTGTAAGGGTATATATGAACAGCTTATCTTTATTGTTAAAAAGGAAGTTTTGCTTTTATGCTTTCAAAGCATCCTGGTTTATATTTAGATTTTATTATTACTATTAAATTTAACTTTTGAGATGGGGTCTTTTTATTTATATGGCCTAGACTGGCCTTGATCTCCTAGACTCAGGCAATCTTCCTGCCTCAGCCTTTCAGTATATGAGGCTATAGTTACATTCCACCACACAGAGCTCACCTTGATTTTAGACTACATCTGAAACTAAATGATAGGCTAGACTACCTATTTATGAAGGTAGTTTTCTTCTGAATAGGGTTGGTTTGTAATTGAATTTAAGCACTTAACTGAAAATGGCTTTTACAGGTATCAAAGCAGGAACAAGAGCTTCAGAAACAAAAGGAAAGTTCAGCAGAAAAGCTGAGAAAAATGGAAGAGCAATATCAAGCAGCCATACGTGATGCAGATTCGAAAAGACAAAAGATCATCGAGCTAACTGGTGCTGCCAGGTAAAACTTGAATATATTAGCTTTTTTGGCCTTTTCACTTCTGTATCAGTAATGCCTAGTGATATATTTATCTGAGAACTAATTTCTTCATAGCCTATGTTTCTATGGCATTTGTTGTATCTCCCTCATATCCTTCATTTATCCTTTTTTTAAAAAAATGTATTATACTATAATACTTTCTTTCTTCCCTTGAAATAAGGGTCCTTTATAGTATTGCAACAGTTGGTACAACAAGCACAGATCCTTATACTTTTATAGGCACTCAGCAACTGCTGTATTAAATTACATATAACACTGAGAGTTGCAGGCAGAGCTCTCCTTATACTGGGAAAACTCTCAGGGGATCTAATTGGTTGGTTTTTGTTTTGTTTGTTTTCTGTGTAGCCCTGGCTGTCCTGGAACTCACTCTGTAGACCAGGCTGCTCTTAAACTTGTAGATCTGCCTGCCTCTGCCTCATAAATGCTGAGATTAAAGGTGTGTGCTGCCATCACCCACCCAGAGGACCTAATTGTATGTAGGATAAATAAAGTAGTTCTGAGCCTTGACTGGACATTCAAAATCATCTCAGTGAATTGACATAATTTTACAAGTAGCAATCAAATGTGAGCTTACATGAAGAAACTAAAACCTATGTCCCCAGATTGCCTTTCTCATTAACAGGGATAAAGAATCAAGATATGGCCTTGGGGTTTAGAGTAGTGCTTGCTTGACGAGGTATATTTCCTCTCAACAATTCCACTGATATATTCTTCGTTCAAATTTCTCCTTCCTGTTCACAGATATCTAGCCAGATAATACAGCCTTTCCACTAGTGACAGTTTTAAGGCCATGAAGACTAGTCACATTCTAACTTATTCTTCTTTACGCCAAAAAAAGAAAAGAAAAGAAAAAAGAAATGCTAGATCTCCAATCCAGGGCTCATTGCTGTTTTCTCCCATCACATACCAACTTCTGTGGGGTTCATAGACATCCCCTGTATTCTCTGCCCTCTCTTTTCTCTTACTATAATAAACCTCTGACAGTGTCCCAAGGACGCTACTTGTTCTCTTGCAGGCTCCTAAGATAGAAAACCTTTTCCCCATGTTTTTGTAGCAGAGTCAAAGGTGTGCTCTGAACTAATATCATCCCTAATTGCTGACAGTTATAGTCCACCTGATTTATTGTTTTCTCCAGTACCAGCTCTGGTTAGTCTGATTTAGCTGATTCATGTTATGACCTGAGTTTGGCTTTTTAAATCTTTCTTCTCTGAGTATTATATTTCTGTCATACTTCACACATCCCCATAGTTTGCCCTAGATCTCACCATTTCTAATGTTTACTGCTGTGTTATTCTTTTTTTAATTAAATTTTTATTTTACATTAATTACATTTTATTCATTTTGCATCCCAGTTGTAGCCCCCTTCCTCATTTCCCCCCAATCCTGTCCTCCCTCCCTCATCTCCTCCCATACCCCTCTCCAAGTCCACCGATAGGGGAGGTCCACCTCCCCTTCCATCTGACCCTAGCTTATCAGGTCTCATCAGGACTGGCTGCAATGTCCTCCTCTGTGTCCTGGCAAGGCTGCTCCTCCTTTAGGGGGTGGTCAAAGAGCCAGTCGCTGAGTTCATGTCAGAGACAGTCCCTTGCTGTGTTATTCTTATACCCTTTTTGCTTGCTTTGTTTTGTTTTAGAGGCAGGGCCACAGTATGTAGTTTGAGTGACCTTCAAACTTACAAATTTTGTTCTTCAGTGGCCCCAGAACTGAGATTATAGATATGTGATAAGATATCTTTCTTTCCTTCCTTCTGTCCTTCCTTTCAAGATTTATTTATTATGTATACAGTGTTCTGCCTGCATGTGTGCCTGCTCACCAGAAGAGGGCACCAGATCTCATTTTGATGGTTGTGAGCCACCATGTGTTTGCTGGGAATTGATCTCAGTACCTCTGGAAGAGCAGCCAGTACTCTTAACCTCTGATTCATCTCCTCTTTCTTTACTGACCTATAAATCAAGTTAATCAGCTGTCTCAGACATGGACTCAGTGGCTGGCTCTTTGATCACCTCCCCCTGACAGGGGAGCAGCCTTACCAGGCCACAGAGGAAGACAATGCAGCCAGTCCTGATGAGACCTGATAGACTAGGGTCAGATAGAAGGGGAGGAGGACCTCCCCTATCAGTGGACTAGGGGAGGGGCATGGGAGGAGAAGAGGAAGGGAGTGTGGGATTGGGAGGGGATGAGGGAGGGGGCTGCAGCTGGACTACATTGAATAAACTGTAATAAATAAATATATAAATAAAATTTAAAAAATAACTTTGTTTGTCTTCTCTTCGGCATATGCTGATCAATCTAGGAATTTCTTGTCACTTTTTTTGTTCTTTGAAACAGGGTTTCTCTGGCTGCTCTGTAACCTGCTTTGTAAACCAGTCTACAGAGATCCACCTACCTCTGTCTCCCTAGTTCTGGAATAAAAGGCGTGTGTCACCATGCCTGGCTCTAATCACTTTTTTTTTAACATGGTTATTTTTTTATTAATTACACTCTATTCACTTTGTATCCCCCCCCAAAAGCCCCTCCCTCTTCCCCTCCCGATCCCGTCCTCCCTCTTCCTTCTTCATGCATGCCCCTCTCTAATCACTTTTAAAAGTAAAAACAGGATCCTAATAAGTCTTAAATAAAAATTACTGACTCTGTATCAGCAATATGGTCTTTACTATTATTTTTTTAATATTAGTTACAGTTTATTAACTTTGCATCTCAGCTGTATCCTGCTCCCTTGTTCCCTCCCAATCCCACTCTCCCTCCCTCCCTCATCTTCTCCCTGCCCCTTTCCAAGTCCACTGATAGGGGAGTACCTCCGCCCCTTTCATCTGACTCTGGTTTATCAGGTATCTCCAGGACTGGCTGCAAAGTCCTCCTCTGTGGCCTAGCAGGGCTGAGCAATATGGTCTTTATTTCAGCTCTTTTAAAAAATGTTTTTATTTAATTTTATTTTATTTGCATTACTGTTTTGCCTATGTGAGGATGTCAGGTCTTCTGGAACTGGAGTTACAGACAGTTGTGAGTTGCCATGTAGGTGCTAGGAATTGAACCTGGGTCCTCTGGAAGAGCAGCCAGTGCTTTTAACCACTGAGCTGTCTCTCTACCCTCCTTTTTATTATTGTTTCAGACAATGGAAACGTTACACGCTTATTCCTGCATGTTCTCATTATCTGAAACTTTATAAAGTTTTATGTACTTAGACTGAAAAACTGCTGCCTTTAGTTCTAAGTGGTATCTTATTGTAAAGAATAATAATGCTGTAGTCAGAACTTATAAAAGTATATAATAGGTGACTTTAAATTCTGAGTAGAAATTTTGCTAATATTTAACCTAATAGAATTTGCAGACTTAAAGTCAGAGACAAATCTTTTGGTGTCAAGTTTTCAGATTACCTGTTCTATTGCTTGATTTTTAATTAGGCAAACCAAACTTGAGATGGATCATTACAAAGAGGAGTTGTCTAAAACGGAGAAAGAAATAATGCATCTGAAACGAGATGGGGAAAACAAATCCATACATCTGTCCCAGTTAGATATGATTTTAGATCAGACAAAGACAGATCTAGAAAAGAAAACCAATGCAGGTAAGCAGCTGGTTGTCTGAATTTAGCCTGAGTACAAATACATGTGTTTTTATGTGTGGTGGACGGAATAAAAATGGCTTCTATAGACTTATATGTTTGAATTCTTAGTCATCAGGGAGTGGCACTACTTGAGAAGGATTAAGCAGAGTGGCCTTTTTGGACCAATAGGTGTGGCCTTGTTTGAGGAAGTATGTTACTAGGGGTGGGCTTTGATGGTTCAAAAACAAAAGCCAGGAGCAGTATGGCTTTCTTACCCTGCTGTCTTTGCATCAAGATGCAGCTCTCAGCTACTACTCCATTTTCTATCTGCACGCCATCATGGTCTTCACCGTGATGCTAATGAACTAAACTTCTGAAACTGTAAGCAAGCAATTACATGTTTCCTTTCTTTAAAGACATTTATTTTTATTTTATGTTCATTGGTATTTATTTTGCTCATATGCATGCATGTCTGTGTGAGGGTGTCAGGTCCGCAGGAACTGGAGTTACAGACAGTTGTAAGCCATCATGTGGTATTGGTCCTCCTCCCGAGGACCCATGGGTGAGGACAGGGGTCCAGCCTGCGGGGTGAGAATCACTGCACAGACACCGGGAGATGGGTGAATGTGATCTGAGGGCGAGCAGATGTAGACTGGTTTATTCCTAGAAGAGAGAGCACGTTATAGCTTAGGGTGAGCAGTCGGGTTCCTCCACAACATCTCTGAGCCTGACATTGGTTGTTGGTCTCTGGGTAGGCTCCCCTAGTCAGGCCATGTGCCCTCTGCCCAACTACTTCTGCAGTCGCAGTCACATCAGGCTGTGAGCCCTAGTGGTCCCTTGCCAGGAATGCCCACAATGTGGGTGCTGGGAATTGAACCTGGATCCTCTAGAAGAGCAGCCTGTGCTCTCAACTGCTGAACCATCTCTCCAGCTCAAATGTTTTCTTTCCTAAGAGTTGCCTTAGTTGTATGTGTTTCTCTATAATAATGAATTCTAAGACATTATATTTAAGTGGAATAAAGTGAACAGTTGGGGTGATGAGACTAAAAGGGATAGTGTTCAGTATTTTGCCTTTTTAAGTGAATAAAAGATATCCTATTTATTTATAAAGTTCTATCAGATTGATTTTTTTGACAGAGAACCCTATATGGCCTAGACTGGCATGAGAGCACCATGCGTATCCTCCTGCTTCCCACCTCCCAAGTGCTGAGAGTGTATGTAGGTACCAACATGCCCTGTTGACGCAGTGCTAGGGATTAAGTCCAGGACCCTGTACATGCTTGGCAAGTATTCCATAAACAGAGCCCTCACATTGAACATTCTTGTGTGTGTATGCATGTGTGTGTGTTTTAGTTACATCTTCCTAGGATTACGTGTACTTTTGTGTACGTGTGTGTATGTGGAAACCAGTGTTTGCAGTTGAAACCAGTGTTTCCTGGATTGATGGCCATCTTATTTTTTAAGACAGGGACTCCTATTGGCAAGGCTAACTGGCTGATGAGCTCCAGCAATCTGTTTGTCTCTACCAGCACCAAATAGGATTAAAAATACAGTCTTTTTCTTTTTTTAAGGGTTATTTATTATGTATATGATGTTCTGTCTGCATGTGTGCCTCCTCACCAGAAGAGGGCATCAGATGTCATGATAGATGGTTGTGAGCCACCATGTGGTTGCTGGGAATTGAACTCAGGACCTGTGGAAGAGCAGCCTGCGCTCTTAGCCTCTGAGCCAACTCTCCAGCCCCCATAATACAGTCTTTTGTGGTGTTTGGCAACTGAAGTCAGGGCCTTGTACTTGCACAACTTGCACTTCAGTAACTGAAGCATCTTCCCAGCCCCTTGGGTATTCTTTACTATACTTACTCATAAGTTCTTAATAAAAATGGTTTACATGTCATTTTTAAATGATTCTGTCTTCTTAACAGTGAAGGAGTTAGAAAGGCTACAACAGCACACTGAAGCTGAACTAACAGAAACTACGCAGAAGCGGGAAGCTCTTGAGACTGAGCTACAGAATGCTCACGGAGAATTGAAAAGCACCTTAAGACAGCTGCAGGAACTGAGAGATGTACTGCAGAAGGCTCAGGCATCACTAGAGGAGAAATACACCACAATAAAGGCTCTCACTGCCGAGCTCAGGTGAGTTGGATGTACTGCAGAAGGCTCAGGCATCACTAGAGGAGAAGTACACCACACAGAGGCGCTCACCGCCGAGCTCAGGTGAGTTGGATGTAAGAAAGGACATCCTAGGTAAAAAAGAGCCGGCTCTGATTATTTATAGCCATTGGATTATACCACAATATTTATTGTTGCTCTCTTAATGGTCCAAATTCTCAGCTGCTTTTGTTTTACTCTCTTTTGGATTTTTGTTTTGTTTCTTTCTTTTTTTTTTTTTTTTTTTTGACTGCTTCGTGAGAGAAGTTGCTGTCCTCATTCTGTGATCAGTTTCACACTTTACAAGTAGCTTTTTAAGAAAAAATGAAAAAAATATTAGGTAAACATACAGTGGTGACTGAGAGCAAAGTATTTGTTAATATTAACTATTAATCTGTAATAATTATTAATAGCAACTATTATTATAATATTAATAATAACTTCATATAGCAGTTATTCTGTATTTGTGTAAATAGTCTTTTTCTGTTTTCTTCTTTTAGAAGACAAGGTCTCACTTTGTAGACCAGGCTAGCTTTGAACTCAGAGATCCACTTATCTTTGCTTACTAAATGCAGTGATTAAAATTGTGTATAGTTAAGACTACGACTTAAATTACATAAAGTGGCAGCATGCTCCTTTAATCCTAGCACTCAGATGACAGAGACAAGTGGATCTCTGTGAGTTCGAGGCCAGCCTGGTCTACAGAGCAAGTTCCAGGACAGCCAAGGCTACACAGAGAAACCCTGTCTGGAAAAACCAAGAAAAAAAAAAAGTGATCTTCCAAAGAAGGAAGTTAAGCATGTCTGTCCAACACTGAAATGTGAATTGTTAGAGTGGTGGTGAATTGTAAGCTTAGTGTTGCAGTAATAAGTATTTCTTAGAGGAGAGGCTATACTAGCTCACATCTATAGAAAGTAGATATGGAACGCCAAAGTCTTCTCAGAGAATTATAAAAAGAAATAAGGTGATCTCAAATGTAGGATACAGAACAGGATCAATAGCTGCAAGATGACCCAGGCAATCGGGAATAGTACCCCAGGGTTCAGTGTAGGACCCCATCCTATGAACTCATCCTTAGTAGATGTCATGCCCTTTTAAATACTGAGTCAAAAATAATTTCCAAATCCATTTCTCCAGTTTGGAGTTTCTCTTTAGGCCTATATTAATACCCTGCTACTTATCTCTTGTCTCATGTAGATTTAAAAACCAAGCATTTAATTATTACAGCTGGGCTCTAGCACTTGGGAGGCAGAGGCAGACAGATCTCTGAGTTTGAGGCCACCTTGGTCTATAGAGTAGCCAGGGTTACACAGAGAAACCTTGTCTCAAAAAAACAAAACTTACCAATTATTAATTATTTTTTTTAATTTTCTGCATACTATATATTCTGATCATGGTTTCCCCTTCTTTCAGCTTCCCCCAGATCCTATACACCCGTTCAATTCTGTGCTCTTTCTCTCTCTCTTTAGAAAACAAACAAGCAAAATAATAATAACAGCAACAACAAAACCCAAACAAACAAATAAAACCCACCAGAAACAAATACATACACACACACAGAAAACCCCCAGAAACCAGAAGTCCTAATATACAAGCAAAAGAGCAGTAAGCCAAAAGCTGGCCAAACAAAGCAGTAGGAGGCAAAAGTTTACAAAAACACCATGGAGTTCATTTGCGTGTTGGCCATCTACTGTTGGGCTTGGGCTTCTCCGTAAGGGTGGTTAATGTACCTGGTAAGAACTGGAGAAGACTACTTTTTCCTATGCAAGCGGGTATCACTTGCAGATTGCTTCTTGGTTAGAGCTGGGAGTCTGTGTTCCCTTCTCCCTCTCTGCGCTGAGAACCATATGTCTTGAACCTGTGTAAGCATTGCATATGGTGCCATCGTCTATGTGAGTTCATGTGTGAATCAGGCCACTTAAGTCTGGGTCATCCGTATCCTCTGGATCTTACAAACTTTCCCCTCCTCTTCTGCATAGCTGCCTGAGCTCTGAGGGAAGGGTGTGATAAAGACACCCCATTTAGGACTGAGAGTTCCAAAACCTCTCAGTCCTGCACATAGTCCAGTTGTGGGTCTCTGTGTTAGTTTCCATCTACTGCAGGAGGAAATGTCTCTGATAATGGATAAATTATCACTGGTCTATGGGTATAGCAGAATGTCATTAGGAATCATTTTATTTGTTTCTTTTTTTTAAAAAAAAGATTTATTTATTATGTATACAGTGTTCTGCTTGTATGCCAGAAGGGGCACAAGATCTTATTATAGATGATTGTGAGCCACCATGTGGTTGCTGGGAATTGAACTCAGGACCTTTGGAAGAACAGCCAGTGCTCTTAACCTCTGAGCCATCTCTTTAGCCCCTGATTTGTTCCTTTAACAGAACAATAGCATTTGGTTTTCCTCTAGGTCCATGGCCTATCAAGTCCTTCTCGGGCTCTTGGCTACCCAGTGTCAGGCCTGGGTTCCATCTTGTGGAACAAGCATTAAATCCAATTAGAGAGGGTTGGTGTTGGAGGGTGGTCTGATGGGTGTTGCTAGTCCTCAAGATCTGGGTACACCTATCTGTTGTGTAAACCTACCTGACTGGCTAATTAAATGGCCTGTACCTGGGCCGGGCAGAATGGGGTAGGCATGGCTAAGGTTCCTATGCTTGGAGAGGACAGAGAGAATCACGGTTGAGAGAGGAAGAAGGAGAACTTCCTGATGGATTAGCTTGGAAAAGAAACGACGTGGGGCTGGGAGGAAGAACTCCATAATGGCGTGAAAAGGCCCAGAAGAAAAATAAAAGCAAGTATTTATAAGATTAGGGATGGAAGCTAGGAGGATTAAGGAGGACGAGATTGGATGGGATCCAGGAGATGGATGGTGAAGTGATTCAGACAATATAGGTGGAATTATCTGCCCAACCCAAGGTAAATAAGGCGATTATATATCTAACAGGTGTCTGTGTCTTACTATTGTGATACTCTTAGGGCTAATAATAAATAATAGACATTATATAGCCCAACACTCCATTTTTTTAAAATTTACTACAACAGGTTGGTTACTCCCACATTTGTGCCACTACGGCACCAGCTCATCCTGCCAGCAGGTCACCGTTTTAGATTGCAGGGCTTGTAGCTGGGTTGATGGTTGCCTTTCTTCTCCAGTAACATAGTACCTTCCAGTTTTATGAACACCCGTCACTAGCAGTGAAGGTGTCAGTTAGGCTCCAGCTCGACGTCTCCGTGTTCAGTGGGACATGTTGGTCTTCAGTCATAGGACCTCCCATCAATTGTGCCTTGGCAATAGCCTGAGGTGTTCGGGTGCTTCCATGAGGCCACATTGGTCAATGACTCAATCCATTCCTCACACTGGAGATTTTACTTGGTGGCAAAAGTGTCTTGTTGAGGCATTGTCTCCCTGTTTATGGTGACTTTATATTTCTTCATGTGTCTATGATATATGTGTGTTATATGTATGTGTGTATATACATATAAAACATATATATATATATATATTAGGAAGGCTCTAAAATTAAATAGGTTTCTATTTGGCCCCTCAAATGACTTTTAGTGGTAGTTGCCCTTCCCTATATCCCCTCCCTTACCCCTCTTTCATTCCTCTCCCCATTTAATCCTCCCACTCCACTCTCCCCCTTCCCTCTATATATTCTATTTAACTTTTTTGGGAGATCCTTTTCCCTCACCCCAGTTACAAGATATCTAACCTTTGTGGTTATGTGGGTTGTAGCACACCTGTTGAAGGCTTAAATGCTAACATCAATATAAGAGAAGACATACAATATTTGTCTTTTGGGGGTCTGTGCTGCCTTACTCGGGATGCTATTTTTCCAGCTCTATCCATTTGCCTATAAATCTCTTAATACCACTTTTTAAACAGCTCCTGGACATATATTATACACGTGTTCATAGCACTTCTGTTAATAGTAGCCAAAAAAATCGCAAGAATGCAATTGACCGCCAGTAATGACTAGATAACGAAAATATGGTATATCCGTAAAAGGAGTATTATTTAGTCAGGAAAAGCATTAAAATAGTGATAATCGACACTACAAAGTGGACGAACTCTACTATTATTATGCTAAGTTATACAAGCTAGAATCGGTGAGTCCAATAGCGATAGTAAAGACTGATGGCTGCTGGGAACTAGGGGAAGGGATAACAAAAGTAATCCTTGAAGGATATGGAAAGAATTCCTTTTGTTGTAATACTATAAAGTACTGGGAACAGATAATGGTGATGTCTACATAGCATTGTGAATGTAGTTAATTCAGTTGAATTATGCTCTTTAAAATGGCCAGTAGTATAATATTTTATGTGTTTTACTACAGACTAGTTTTCACCCTGGCCTCATTTTTCATTATTTTCCTGGCCTCATTTAATACTGTTATTGCTCTTTTTGTTGTGGTGTGTGTGTAAGCATAAGGTTATTGTGTAATTTAAGTGTTGATTTCTGTACCCCTCCTCCCCCCCATATCTGGTTGCAATCCTTGGTCTCAGAATCTCTGGTCTCAATGTTGTATAAACACTGCTCCCCAATGGTCCCCTGATATGCCAATAAAGCAGCTTTGAGCCAATCGCTGAGTAGGGCAGAGAGTAGGGCTGGACTTCCTGCCAGCCAGGAAGTAGAGGATTCAGCCAGGGAATTTTAGCCCAGGGCAGAGATGTTCAGGAGACAACCAGGAGAGCTCAGCAAGGAGAGCTATAAAGTGCAAGTCCTGATGCGAATCAAGCTGGAAGGAAGCCAAATTACCGTAGAGTGTCAAGAATAGAGTTAATATTGCTCAGGATTGTGCTGTGAAGCTTGTTAAAATAATATAATAGTCCCAATTATTTGTATGATATCAAGGTTAAGAGAGAAAATAAGAAACACTGTTTTGTAAAAATAAGTAACATTTTGGTGCCCAATATTGGATGCCATCTGTAAGCTTTGACCTTTTTAAACCTACGTTAGTTGGGGTTCCTTAGGTCTTTCTGTCTTCCCCACCCCAATCCCTTCCCGGAGCCCAACACCAGGAAGGAGAGAAAGAAGGTTAATAGGGATGGGGGTGGGGGCCTTTTCCGAAGTGGTTGCCTGGGACGGTTCCTCTCTTTGTCATCAGGGTACTAGCAGCCCAGTCCAACAGCAAACCAGCGATCCAGCAATAGCAAAAGTAGCAGGAAGGGTTCCCAGAGCTTTTCCCTCTAGAACTGAAGGAAAACAAATCGCTCTCACTGTCTGTGGCTCCTATTTATTCCTTCTTAAAGTCCACACCAGGATGTTTTTCAGCTGGCAAAAACACACCCTGCCCAAGGCAGTTTCCTGTTGACAAGGATCATGCGCCCCTTCATGCGCCTCTCTAGAGGCTGCTGTCTGCTATGGACAGAGCATCCACACATCACAACAGAAATTTCCACTCTTCCACTGTGCGCGCGCGCGCGCGCGTGTGTGTGTGTGTGTGTGTGTGTGTGTGTGTGTGTGTGTGTGTGTG